ATGCAAGCATCCCACAGAAACACGGTAGCGAAAGTATAAGCTCACGCCTCTGGAGGACGCGAGTCATATTACCAACGAATGGAAGAAGGGCAACTCGCGTTCATCGTCAAGTAACGATGTAGCAGCCTCCAGCAAGTACTGTTGAAACCCCTCGGAACCAAATACTCAAGCCTAAACAGATACTGGGTGGAAAAGGCCTAATTCGTTCTCTGGTGCGAGTAACTTCGAGCCAAAAGCCAAAAAGCCCAAGTCTCAAACGTATGCTACGACACTGAGTAAGAGTTGACATCGCTCAGACGTTCCGACACTTACTAACGATGTGCAGTCACGAAGCCTTTCAGCTCTGCTTCAAACTTAAACAAACCGTTCAAGACGCCATTTAAGTCCAAGTCTCCTTCCGAGTCGATACGACATCACGATGTCCTCGAAGAGATTGACGAGGACACCGAACACGAGTCGGAGGCGCCGGGTGCATATATTGACGCCCAGGAGAATTCGAGTTTAGAACCCACTAACCATCGTCACGAGCTGGCACGGATGCGTAAGCACTGCCGCCTTTTCGATCCTCCGACTCTCATCTCAGATGTTCATTACAGCATCTCCCGAGGCTAAGTTAGATTTCGAAATCGAGCCGGGAGAAACGTATTCGCAGAAGATTGATGTACGTTGCCAAACATCTCTGTTTCTTTGCCCTTTTTACAGCAGAATGGGGATGTAGCGTTCCGCGCGACGTGAGTGCATCCGAACGTTAGCGCTGGCACTATGCAAAGGCCCATGGGACCAGAATACTATACTGCGATTAGCACAGAACATCGAAGTGCGTGCCCACGGATTCTCCAGCACCACCACAGGGTATAAGGAGCGCATGAGGGCAAGGCTAGATGCAGTTAAGGTCCTGGTATCAGGCGGAGATGTGCAACACGAAGAGGAAGGAGAGGAGGTACTTGAAGTTGTGAGCGAGGTGTGCCGGTAATAATTGGTAGAGGCTAGACTGCAGAGGTGCGCTTTCAGTTCTATTTACATAGGACCGAGGAAGTAATGAAGATGTCTGGACCTGACTCGTACTTTCAGAGAAGGCGACATCGGCCCCGTTGTCGTGTGGACATTGTGATCGCCCGACGCCGTAAAGCAGAATTCTACCAAATCAGACCCTTGAGAAGTGCGGACGAAATTTCTAATGGGCGGTTCGGTTTGCCTTGTTTGTGCTCGCGATCTCATAGGAGATTGCGTGCCGCCTTGGTAGCGAAGAAAGATGCAAAACTACAGGCCTGGACCAAGGTCCTCTGGTGTTGAGCCCTGGTCGGTCGACATTCAATGGCACATGTAAAGATCAGAAGGACTTGCCCGTCATAACTCCCCTTCGTATCACAGGTGTTACTGAACATGCGTTTCAGCTGTCTCATGTTCCTCGCTAAACTGGCACCCTGACTTGTATCCATTGCGAAGAGATGCGTTCATCGTCATGACCGCTATTCAATCTGAATGGTTTTAGTGATTTGGCGTTAACGTCGATCCAACTTGGCTGACGAGCCAACGCAGCCCACGAACTCAGCGGTAGCGTGAAACAAAGGCATGGCGCATGTCAAGCGCTGGAACTGCATTCTGTCGGTCATAATAAACTAATCTTAGAAACAACACCACGCCAATGATGCGACGAGTCTGTGGGATCCGAAGCGCAACATTGCCGCTAAGATAGTAGCATTAGCGCGGGGTTTTCGATGGCGAATTCCGGGCTTTTGTCCTGCGCGGCTACCAAAATCTTATACAGAAACTAGCACTTGAGAACAATATCTGCTGTCGCAGATGTTCCTCACACAGTTATCCCGTCGGATATGAAGGGGGTTCTTGGAGCCTAGGGAACTTCGACACTAGTCTAGTGCACGGATAGCACCTTTTGCAGGGGTATAGCGCCCATGTCATCGCATATCGACCCGGGACTCGTTGTTTCCATTTAGCTTTTAGAGGTGCGCAACCAATATTGATGTCAAATACTGTGACCCTAGTAACGTTATCTGTTAGCTTTGCGCTCCGGAATGGGCTATTCCTGTGGAGGTCGAGAATGATTGCCTTGTTGGCAGGTGTAAGCTTTTAAGGTTTGCTTGGAGATCAATATCTCAGACCCCGTGTCACAATGGGCCCGTGCTTTGCTCCCGACCCTGTCCTTCTCAAGGCATCCCGAACCTGCCTGCCGAATGGGAATGGGTAGGTGCTTGTCTTCTCTTTCTGCATATACCGCTATTAGCAATATCTAGCGATAGTCTTCTAGCGAAAGATTCAGTTTGAGCCGATGGCGCCATCCGAGAAGCACCAAGAAGTTTGCCTGAACTTTCAGGGCTTGTTGTCGCTGCTGCGTAGTCAGGCTTCTTCCCCATCAAACTTAGGTTCGAACTTTCTAAAAAAATGTCACGGATTGCAACGTGTAACATGCTCACGCACCTATTGTTTTCAAATTGCTCTTCGACGTGAACACCTACCCTGGCCTATATAAGCGTCTTAGCTCCTCTACGTGCGTCCACCTTTTTTACAACACCCTGACCTCTATCCAGTTTCATGTTTTGGTCTTGATTCGAACCCGCAACATGTCTGACACTCAGGTATGATGGGGTCTTTTTCGACGATCCGCTAAAATGAACCTGACTGACATCATCGTGATCAGTCGTACTGGACTTCGTGCGTAACACTTACCTCGTGGCATGCGGGCTATTTAACTCTTCGAGGAAGGTTCACTTTGCAAACCTATAATTGTGCCTATGCAATAATGGTGGGTAGGTCTGAACGTACCTGAACGTTGCTAACAGATGTGGTCTGAAGGTTTGGGACACTCTCCTGACTTTATCCAAGGAGAAACGCAAGTATGTTCTGCATTTTACCGTGAATCAATTCTTGCTAAGCCTCGTCTGGTACTACAGAATTTGGAACAGAGAATGGAGTCCCGTGGTGAGTACCATCGTATTTGTGATGAACATCGTTGATGAGTCGTGGAGCAGAAAATCATTTTCTTGTTTAAGTGCGTATCATTGAATAGTACTGCGCATCTACTGAACGATGATCTGTAGTCGCTATTATGGCGTATGGTCTTCTACGACATACCGTGGGTTCGTTAACGAGTTTATTGTACTTTCAAATCGCATCCATCACAGTGAATCTATGGTAAGCCAGCATACTTACTGGCTAGTCTTATGCTCTAAATTTTACCGTAATCGTTCTAGTTTCTATAATATACAAGTCCCCACCGAAGAGTGCGCCAAGTACGTGAAGGCCGAGCCGTTGATTGCCAGTATGCTACGCCTCCCTGCTGGGAAGCCGTAATCCTCCGACTGATTTACTGATAGATTTTACGATTATCTCGTATCAAAGCATTCTCTTGCTGCGGTACGTGTCAGTGGCAATGCCTATCGTATGTGTTAAGTGTATCCATAGTTGTTACGCGGTGTGGTTGTGTGACAAGCGTATTTTGTTCTGTGGCGTCGGGATGTTGATCTGCCAGTTTGTGGAGGCCATGTATGCCTGTTCTGGATTTGTGGGTTTTTCAAAATCATTTTTCATTCACTTGCATTTACTCATCTAGGGAACTAGTATCCTCTCCCTATCACGTGTGTACTAAGTCCATCCCTTCAAATGTTATATATTGACGCGCACTTGAAGGGGCGAGGTCGGGCCATGCGGTAAGTCAAGTGTTGTAGAGCACCTGGAGTGATGATAACAGCCCTTTACAGTTGTTCAAGGAGAGAAGTTGTGCGTGGTTTTGTTCGTATTGAAGTGTTCGCTGATGGTTCACTATAGCTGGATTGCAAGCGTCTTCTTGTTCCCCACTATTACAGATACCGTGCGTCTTGAAAATATGTTCCTTCGGAGATCTCATCGTTCCCAGATTCTAACAGTCGTCACCTTCGCTCGGGTATTTTACATCACCCCCAAAACTAGGTCCTCTGTCATATCGCGGTTTCTGAAAGAAGGCTTCTTGTTTTGTAGGTCCTTGCTATTGACTCGTTGATATCTTACTCATTGCGCGCAAAGTCCTTATAGTATTCGGTATCTCTACTTTCGTTTAACAGGCCAAGCGTATTCTCACCCCATTTTCAGTTGGAAATTGCGCCAATGGTATATTATATCTCCAGGTAAGTGAGCGGCTTTCATGTCTAGGTACTATAGCCTGACCATAATATTTCCAGCCGAACAGGGATATATCTACGATCTTCAGCGGATTCGCGATAGTAAGCTTCCTTGTCAGTCTAGAAACACATTTTGCTTAACTGAGAGCCAGATTTTTGGGAACGTCTGTGGAAACCATCTAATACTCGCAGCTCGGCATGATGGTTCAGGTGCGTGGGGCGTATTTCTGATTGCATTGGCTGATATTGGAACAGCGAGCTCTGGAAGCTCTGAATCGCCCCGCCGTACTAGTACTGGCCGTGGTGCCGCGTTGTCCGGACGTGGAGTCCTCGTTCATACGATGGTGGACATTGAATTAGATGAACTGTCACCAGGCAAGACCTCAGGAGACCTTCCCGTCAAGCGCAACCAGGAGCTATGTAGGTCATACTATAACTTATGAAACCGATGATTGGAAGTCCTTTTGATAGGATGCAAGCAGCCATCACTTCTATAGACACCATAACCGGGGAGACGCTGCGGCTGTTGGATGACCTCTGCCGATGACACGCAAACCAATGAAACTATTGATCGTCGTATCTTTTCTTTCTATGAAACTGAAATATCCAAACCCAACATGCAGCGACCGGCAACTTCATGCTATAACTAATTACGAACGTGCAACGCTGAGTATGGCTTAAGGAGACACTGTATTATATTCGTGCAGCTAAGGGCCTTCCATCTAGTCGAATTACTTCCTTTCGTCAGGATAGGCGCGTTACAGAACAATAACCAAGAAACAATCAGTTGAAACTAGAAACTAGAAACTCAGGATACGAGATTCTACTGACCTGTTAGAGTTAAGTGGAACGAAAAGATAATCTAATAAGTTCTAACACAATGCAAAATTCCGATACGGGGAATCGAACCCCGAGCTGCCGCGTGAAAGGCGGCAATGTTAGCCAGTTACACCATATCGGACCGCTATTTTGGCGTACAAAATAAGGTAGAGTTATCGACAATATTTAATGACTTGCAGAGCGGTGCCTTGCCTTTGTCTTCCTACCACGCAGCGGGTCTCCTATTACAACGATGGGCAACACGCCTTCCAACAACCAGCAAGACCGCGACCGCAATTCCTCTGCTACTCGATTCCAACAGCGTTCATCACCGTCACCGACGCCCAACCAGCCCCATCGGTCGCTCAGACACAAGAAACGGTCACTAGAACTGCCTGATCTGCAGCTAGACATTACCCCGCGGAGACCCGCTGCCACCGCGAGTATACCGATACCAACAGCAGCAGAAAAAGAGAAGGAGAGGGAGAGGCCTCGAACCAAGCGGCAGCAGAGCGGATTGGGATCCAAGCCTACGAGCGGATCTGAGGAGTGGTCACGGCAAGTGAGCTACCTTCCACCGACTGTACCGCCATCGTCGCTCGTCGATGCCCCCCACACTCCACCGGAGCGAGATGAACCGTATCAGCAGCAGATCGTTCGCAGTACCCTTCCTTTGCCGCTTGCAGTAGAGACTGCAATTTCACCCATCGACACCGCAACTCAGATGATCTCTGTACCCATCATCTGGACCGGTGGCGGTACTAGAGTCTTCCTTTCGCGTGCAGGTGATGATGATTGGAAAACACAAATACCGATGCGAAGAATGGCTGGTGATGACGGCAAACGATGGACCGTCGAGTTGCAGTTGCAGCCTGGGACGCATCACATGCGGTTCTTGGTGGATGAGCAGTGGCGCGTAGCCGACGACCTGCCTCAAGCTGTCGATGACCAGGGCTCACTGGCAAATTATGTCAGCGTCGGCTTGTCGAGTCCGCCACCAACCCAGCTTGATCCTTCCCCGCCCAAACGCAGCCACAGTTTCTGGAGCACCACAACTGGCGGTTCGACCTCCTCGCCCAGTACTCATTCCCCCGCTCTTCCTGCTCCATCCTGGACAAACGTAATCCCCCTCGAGCTTACTGAGGCCGCCGCCGAGGAGGACGCTTACCTTAATGCACACCACACAACGTCGACAACGCAGGGAGGTCGCAAGGTGGTGAATGGATTTATACCTGCTCCGAACATCCCTCCCGCCCCGCCCTTGCCTCGTCATTTGGAGAAGCTCATTTTGAATACGGCAAGTGGCCAGAGTCAGTCCGGTTCGTCGAGTGGGAAGGAGGGCAAGAGGTCAAGAGGTAGACACGGAAGCCATGGGCAGAGACGGGGTAGCTCTAGTGAGGGTACACCAGGCTCTGGGGTCGAGGGAAGGATTCTACCCGTGACGACAGCAAGTGGGACAGACATCAATAATGTGTTTAGCACCGGAAGTGCGTTCACGCCGTCGACGCATACACCGGCGGTGCCTCAAAGAAACCTACTGTCGAGCTCAACACCGAATCTCAATAGTCCGACACCGAGCGCCATTGAAGACGATACAGTCATCGTCGACGATACATCTGTTCTTCCCGTCCCTTCGCATGTTGTCTTGAATCATCTATCGACGAGTTCCATTCGAAACGGCGTGCTCGCTGTCAGTGGGACGGTGCGTTACAGGAACAAGTTCCTGACCACCATTTATTATAAACCAACATAGGATTGGTTAGAGGAGACGGAAATGCTTTGGGTCAACCGGCTTTGGTTCTTGGATATCTGATGCAACTAAATATGTACTACAATGCGTTACTGTCTTTCTCTTGTCTGTGTTGTTGTCTGTTCTGCTTAGTATGTGCTTGCTATAGAGTATTTTCAGTGTTTGGAAGTTTCAATCGCATTTTTATTGGCTCCCAAGGCGTAATACCGCATTCTCTTGGATTTAAGATCGACACAAACAAATTTTATGAACTAAAGTCTTACTTCCGAAGACTGTCCACGCGCTCCAGATCCTCCGATCTCTTGTTAGTGGGCAAGTCACTTAATGCGACGTCCACAGTCGTATGCACAAGAACTCCAGATCCGGGCCACACACCGCGATCATGACCAGGACCAGTCGCAGGAGGTGAGTCCGACGTGGAGGCCGCTGTGTCTCCGAAGTCAGTCAAGGCGAATTGCACATATGCCATCACAAGCACCTGAACCGTCGTGACGAGCGCCAAGAAGTAGATGGTTTCCACAGACGTTACCCGAGATCTTAGGAGAGATGCCTTGATAAATAGAAAACAACCAAGAAGGAAAGGCTTACTATGGCGAACCCGCTAAAGATCGTGGATATATCCTTGTTCGCCTGTATCATTGGTAAGTAAACTCGAACTGTCTTTGACATGCGAGATACTCACCTGGAGATACAATATACCGTTTGCACAGTTTCCAACTACAAAAAGGTGAGAAGACTTCGGACCGAGAAACGAAAGCCCGAGTACCGAAGACAATAAGGACTATTCAACGAAGTCAACAAATCACCAGACAGAACCGGGTGCTGGAAGACCCACAGAAGAGGAAACCTTCTTTCAAGAACCGCGATATTACGGAGGACCTGGTCTTTGGGACGATGTACAGTACCCGAGCGAAGGTAACCACGGTCAGGATCTGTATGTGATGAGATGGAGAGAAGCATTCCCTTATGTATCTTTAGACGTACTGTGTCGGTCAGGGTAGGGAAGAGGAAGACGCTTGCGATCCAGCTAGACAATGATGAGTAAATGATTTCGTTTGAGAGATTCGATATACAATTTCTGCCCTTGCACAACTACGAGAGCCAAATGTATAGGGTAAGACTGAGTAATTCCATCGTGTAAAACGTACCACAAGGTCCTTTCTCGGTTCTGAAATTGAGTCAGTAAGGGAAGGCCAGCATTAAGAAGAATACTGACGCGATTGGAAGAGGAAACTAGAGGACGAATGAGTGTAAAATAGGCTTCGTTCGAGAGATATGTCACCTACAAAACCAGAAATCGCGTACATGGCCTCCACGAATTGGCAGGTCAAGATCGCTATTCCACAGAATAAAATTCTCTTGTCCCGTAACCAGACAGCGTAACATCTGTTATCGTGGTCGTTTACAACAGCGACACAACCGATCTTCGTAAAGGCCCTTACCGAAGCAGAAGGATACTCTGATAGGACAAGATAGTGAAGTCTGTGACCGATTCAGCAGAGCACAGCAGCGGTGAGAAAGTTACGTACTACCAAGCAACGGCTCCGCCTTCACATACTTGGCACACTCTTCAGTGCTGACTTGTATGTTATAGAAGCTGAAGTATTCGCTACATGTTAGCACGTCAAAGAGTAGTCGTATGAGCGCACCATAAATTCATTGTGATCGATGCAAGCTAGTAGATGGCCTATCACGTAAGAGCGGCTGCATATAATTCAAGGTCTTACACCATAATAACGGCTATACAACGGACAGTCAGCCAAGATACAGCGTTTTGACTTCATGCGTACTTGAAGAAAAAAATAACTTTCTGTGTGAACCACCAAATCATCAGATGGAATGTTCCTCGTGGTTTAAAGAGTGGACTCTGACCGCTGGGCTCCATTTTCGATCCCAAACCCTGGAAGCGAGGGTGAGAAACACAAGCGTAAATCTTGGCCTTTTAGAAACGCACTTTCGTTTCTCTTCGGATAAGGTCAACAAAGTATCCCAAATCTTTTAGCAACTTTAAGCAACGTTCAAAGCGCTCCGAGAAACGACGCACCATAACTGCGTAGGCACAGTTATAGGTTTGGAGGGTAAAGCTGGGTCAACTATATCAGCGAATAGGCCTGTAATTCCTGCAGAAACCGCTCACGCAGCCCAATATGACTAAGAGTGACGAAAATGTCAAGACCCGCTCTGGAAACGTAAAGAGCACCTGAATACCTGAGACCCAGCCATTCTGCTGGGCTTGAATCAGTGGCGCCGAGAAAATGATTGGAATTGAGGGCAGGGGAGAGGGAGAAACGAACGCTGAGCTCGGTTAGATACTTATATAGGAAACGAAAGGCTCGTGAATAGAATATAATCTTAGGAATGCGCCAAAGCGGCGTTGTCAGCAGACTTGATGGAAGATTCGAAAATCGAAAAAGTCTGATCTGTGGTAGTCTGAAGGCTTCAAAGTGCTTACTAGCTCCCAGCGTTGGACAGATCATCGCGAGAAAGTGTGCCCACTTATCGCTGGCAATAGAGCATATGATCAGTGGTCGAAGAGGACACACATTCTCGGCACACGGAGATACAAGTGTGTATATGGGCCGATGTTGCGCGAGAACAGCGATTCAGCCGACCCTACCCTAGAGACTCGGGAACGGAAAGGAGCATAAGAAACGGTGACAACGTGGAACAGAAGCATTCTCGTGGGCAGATTACTGTTACTAGCTCATGTAGATGCTATTGCTGAAAACGACACAAACAAGGACGTCATCTGGGACAAAGCGGGTTTTCGTTCCTACGGTTGAAAATGTCACCGATAACCATGACATTAGATATATGACAAACCACCTTGCAAAAAGCCGATATACGATCAATAAGACGATTGAGAATTGTGGTGCGAACCGCATACACCGAGCAGCGTTGCTTCAAGTGTTTTTGTGATCATACGCAAACCACGAGGCACCACAGTAAACCTGACGGTGAGTTTTGTCGGTTAAAGGACGGCGCATGCTAGGGTCCCATGTGTTTACCAGTACTCTGGATAGCAATTGTCAAATGACGATCTGTGTTCATAATATGGGACTCCGATGGTGTGAAAGTTCCTTTTGTATAAGCGTCTCCATAATGACTCAGTTGTCATCCACGCACAGCAGCTTCTGTCTTCGAAGAAGTCACACTCACCTATTGTTGACCGGGGTATCGGTACAGCCTTGAACTGACCGACTAACCGGCCAGACATTAGGGATACCGAGGGAGAAACTATGACATCTGTATTTTGAAGATGGTCCACGAAAAACCCCAAAGGGATCTATATGTAACACACAACCCCTCCACGTAGTACCTTTGCACAAACTATTTTGATTCTCGGGGTTCCGTGATTACACAGACACCGGAGATGGAAAGTATTTTTCAAT